GGCTGAATTCCCATCCCACAGTTCGTCTGTCTGGGCCACCCATGGTCACCGGTACTCAGGGCAGTGGGCAGCTATGCATTGCATTATTACAGCGAGGATAGCTGGAGCAGCGCCGACCTCTTTCTCCCTCTGCATGCCCCCTTTACACTGAGGTCGAGACAACACTAAGCAGACTGAAGATAGGCGCAAACAGTGTGGATGGGCAGGCATGAAAAGCCCTGTATCTACGCATGATGTTCGTTCATTTGGCAGTAGCCGAATTTGGGTCAGTCGGATATCACATCGTTGAAAGCTGTCTTCTGGTCACATCGAGAGGTAGCCATTGTAGCCGAGTCCTCAGTACAGAGTTGTGTCATCAGTTTGCAAACATCGAGGCCACAACATTAGGACCCCTTGGTGACTGGGAAGCATGTCAGATTTGTTTAGTGAAGAAATGTCACGCAGGATCGACCACACACTGCCACGTGCTCTTTCATCGTCTACCAGTGGCAAGTCCGAATCCGACCCACTGCAGATGATGCGATCAGGCGCAGTGACCGACATGAAACAAAGGCTTCATCTCGCGGCTGTCACACACGCGCTTGACCCTCGTTCGACTCTAGCGCCGCAGTGTCGACTGTTTTTGGGAGCCCTAAACCCCAGTTAACACTCCCATTTAAAATAAAACGACAATGCAAGCTTCCTAATTTGACAAGAAGTTTCGTGCTCCGATAGGCACTGCTTTTCCTGAATGCTAATTCATTTATTTTATGCGTGGCCTGAGGCCGCATGTAAGCCAGCCTCTAGTTCTCTATGATTGAGAACATTAGTCCACGTGATAATCTGACAGTAAGAGATAATTTACTGGTCAGGACACGAGTGCTCAAGTTGTGGATTCCATAGAACCTCACAATAACTTAACTTCAAATCTTGGACCCTATTGACCAGAATTCCAACTTTGACTAGCATAATTTGCCAAAATGGCCGAACAGGTCTCTGGTCTCTGCAAATCACTAAGCACTCGTAGTTCATAATTTCAAGATCCGATCCTTCCCTCTAGAACAATACTTCAGTAAAAAAAGATCTGGCAAATACAGACGCCACCTCAAACGAAGCCAAAAAGTCACTTACCTCAACTGTCGCCGGTTGTGTGACGGCTGCAAGGCCTAGCGGGACTTTGCTGAGAGTGGCAGCCAGCTTATCCTTAGTGGCAGAGACAGCACCAGTCTTGGCTGGCGCAGGTTTCGGTGCATCAGGTTCGAGACTCTGAAACAGATGAACCGGTTACTGCGAGTCTGAAGGATGGAATGTGCTGCGGTCTGACTGGGTGCACCAATATTTACCCACCCCTCAGTTACTATCAATGGAAGTCAGGCAAAATAGTCCAATACTGTCAAAATAACCGTATACAGCTTAAATGGATACGCCAATGCACAACATTATAACCTACACTATGCAGTAGAATAGGAGTGGTTTCCTGAAAAGGTAGTAAACGCTACTGTGTATACTTTTATCGCGCAGACTGTTTGCTACTTACACCTCCAACAAGGAAAGGGCATACACCGATACAGAAGCAAACAAACTCCGTATGGGTGACAGAGGTCAGGAACCAGCAACGAGCTATCAGGCCAAAGTCGGAAAAGCAATGATAGCAAAGGTAGGGACGACGGAGAATCTGTTTAGGTTAGTGCAGATCAATTCCGGGCTGGTTCTGCCTTAATTCAGGCAATCGTGATCCTGAGCACCAACTGGGATCAAAAACACAAACCCGCGCATGCACACGGTGCAGATGACCATTACCGGGATCTACCACCTGTTCGTGACATCTGCACCCGTAAGGGGCTTGTTTGCATCGCGAGGGCAATGGATCGGTGTGAGCCTATCCCTGCTTGGATAAATACCCGATCTGCAGGGACAGAGAATGACGCGTGGTGAGGCCCTGATGAACTTCGATTCGATGAAATGCTTATGATCCATTTGCTAGACCCTATCTGCGGATCATTCGCGACGTGTATGAGCGCATGTTTGTGCTTCTGGTCCCACCTGGGGGTTAGAGTTATGATTAGCTGAATGAAGACAGAATAACCCAAAACAGTTTCGTATCAATCTACACCAAACCTCTGTCTTCTTCCTTTTGACGGGGTTCAAGGTTAAGCTCCAAGACACAACGGGAAAGGTGCATACCGTAACGCGGTCGGTGAGCGTCCTTCTAACAAGTGTATATGTCGTGTCTCCGGCACCCAACTTCAAACCCTTCATTTAACAATTTCTGAGATATATATATCGAACCAATACTTTCAGAAATTATTCAGTGCAGGACATGAAGTTAAGTCTCAGGCACATGACTTTTTAAGGTCAAATCCGAAATTTTAACGAACATTCGAGTCGAAGTCAATCAAGTACTGTGGAATGACCACGTGATGCCCACTCTAAAAACAAGTAGTACTACGAGTAGTATGAAATGTATATAGCAAACGTATTATACCGTACTTGAGTCTGACACTAAAAAGTCATGTTCCGGAGATTTAACTCCATGTCCTGCACTGAATAGTTTTTGAAATTATTTGCTTTGATTTTTCTCTGGAGGACATATACGAGAAACCGCATAGGCAACGCTGGAGGACACACTGAGGAGCCGAATTCCTCGCAGCTGTGTCACGCAGCGGCAGAATGACGGCGAACCAGGTGTCCTATGTAGGGAGTACGGCATAATATGTTTGCCCTATATATATATGTGTGTGTATATATAGCAGTTTGTATAACATTGTGCGTCGAAATGCGCTACAGGCTGACTACAAAGTTTCCGTCACTTTTTAGACGGAGATATCTAGGGTGAGTACATAACAAATCTGGCAGGAAACACAATTTCAAGTAAATTGTAAATGATAGCAATCAGGCTCTGGACTGACTAGTTTCTCAGCCATGCATTTAATTTACGCTGGAAATCAGCCCCCTGGTCGGTGTTTCTTTTATCAGTTGATTTTGATGGCTTTATGAATTGGCTCATATTTCTTAAAAAACCTATACAAAATACCAGTCCTGATTTGTAATTGGTGAGAAAGTAACTTTTCAGTAAGTGATTTACTTGAAGGCTGAGGGAAAATTCGTTTTAAATACTTTTGTAATTAGAACACTTCTTGAGACGCTCGCTGGGCCAACCGTCAAGCTTGCTAGCCTCAGGTCAAATAATTTTGATATAAAGGCATACAGTTTAGTCCATATACATGCGACGACACCTTATAGCAACCGAGAAGCCCCTTTGTAGATAAGTAAATGAAAGCATCAAGTTATTTCAAAGAAAATATGCGGCATGCCGTTTGGAAACTTTAAAAACAAGAGGAATTAGCAAACTAACTCCCTCCCAGTACCAACTTCCCTGAGGACAGCACTTTCCAGACATAAACACAAAAGACACATTTTTGCTTGTTTTATTTCTGGAAAATACAGCCGATCTATGTTCATCTTATTTACCTTGTTGACGGCCGCAACATGCTGCTCCTTTAACATCTTCACATCAACGCTCGCAGAAGGTGGCTCATTCCCGTTGAGCAATGTCTCACCATCCTTATCACCTATAACATTTCCAAAACACGACAAGAAATTTGTAGATTGGGCAAAAGAGACACGTTTGGATGAGCAAGGATTCTGGTGAGCAGGTTAATTTGTAATATACTACCTACCGGAAAGGCTTTAATATGCAGACGTTAGCTGTATTTAGCTGCATTGCATAGCCAATTGCACAGTAGTGACGACGAATTTAGCAGTTGACTTTAAGCCGGTAAAGGCAGCTTAAAAATGGTTTCGGAAGAGAAGTGGAAATATGCCCCGCTAAGGCGGGGAGCTTATTAAAGGCTCTAAGTGCTGATGGATATGCCTGCGCAAGAAGCTGCAATGAGCGAGTGGATAAGTGCGGACAATATGAGGAAAGATGGTAATAACGGGTCAGCGGTTGGTGGACGTAAAGATATGTGTAAACGGTCTAGATATGGACGTATTCAATTTGTCCATGTAGCGGGGTTGAACACTACAATAGGCGAAAATCAGACACGTTGCTAGGCCCTGTAAAGACCTTGCCTCTGTCCAGTGGCTGCTTTTATCTGACGACGTTCGCCAAAAGAGTCGCCTGTAGAACGCGGGCGCAGAGATAGCGTTTGAAAAGTGTGCTTGGCGTCTGACTGCATCTACAGTGACCCATCTAAGATGATTATTGAACCTGAGTTCTGAATATTTCAGCCGCCCCCGAAATGCTTGAGATCCGCCCGGGTCTGAAACCTGAAAAAAACTTCTGACAATCAGTGAAATGGTCAAATGGTCCACGAACTAGTTATTGCAACGTCCGACTACCAAGCACCAACTCCTTGTGGTACCAAAGAGGAGCCCACCGACTCGGTTAGTCATCTAATGCATATACAATTGGTCAAGCTCTCTTCTACCACGTCTCACAGACTTAAAACTTAGGTCTTCATCCGCTGTGATAAGAGGGCAACGCGACGTAGAAAGCATCGGCTGCCGGCCGCATTGGCAGGGTGCGTATGCTACTGGAGTCGCTATACGGCAGACTCTTACAGGTTGTCTATGGGGAGTTGAAGACGTATCACAATAGACGCAGAGAACGAGCGGCGATCGTCAGTGCAGAACGGTTTAAGGGCCCCATTTCAGAATCCTCAATCTTTGTCTCCAGTACTTTCTGACAATTCAATACTCGTCATCAAGCGGCCATCTGGAGGGCGGTAGACCCGAGACTCGAAAGCAAAATGACAGATTCATTTCCATCTTGAAATCGTGATAGATCGGTAAACGCACTATCATGTTCCATCGTCTCCTCCTCCTCCTCCTCCTCCTCCTCTGCAGAGACTCACTTTCTTTACTGTCGGTCTCCACCGTATCATCGTCTGCCCGTCTCGAGAGGGGTGTGGCTCCCATTCCCAAAGTCGTGTTTCAATCATGACACAATATTTCGGCACGTTTCAAGCCGAACGCATGGACAGTGATTAGGTATAAGTGCATTCTTACATAGACGGATGCGTCCAGGCTACGGCGCTCAGCCACTTGAGACCAGACCCAGTTGTCCAATCTACAAGCGGCAGTCAAACAAGTCTATCGCCTGTCTTGTCACCGGCAGGTAATGACTCTGCTCGATGATTCCTTAGTCAGTATCACAACCCTAACGAGCCACTGGCTACTATGAATCGGTAGGCCCATTCACCGCCTGCTTTCACCTGCTTGCGGGCAGGATTTTTATGAAGACTTACTTGTTAACCTCTTAGACCTGACTTCAAACGCAGGATGATAGAGGTTGGTGACCACAATGCAGTCGCATAGACGTCCGTAATCTGACCGACACTGTGGCATAAAAGACCCGTAAAGCGGTTATTATTATTATTTTGATTGATCGGCCGGATAATCGTAAGAAGAAAGGTTACCAAATGAAGGCAATTAATTGATTAGAGTTAAACTGAAACCAAAGTTAGCGGGTATTAGTCTCACTTTCTCGACTGGTTTCGCAATCCATGCCAGGGTTATCGTGACAGCCGATGCTTTTTTGTCTAACGTCAAACTCGACAAGTTGAAATCGGTATCGGTTTCAGTTGGGAAGACATATGTCGCCAAATTCTCTCTGTTTTTTACTTTATATGACTCTGTGGTGACTCTGTGAACGTAATTGTAAGAGCATTGTCTAAGTTGCCTGACCGAGGGCTTCGAAGCCGTCTATTCTACCCTGCGCTGATGGTAGTGTTGCGATTGTGAAAAACAGTTATTTGCACTCATATTCCTTTTACTCTAGTCAGATGGATGCACATCAATCTAACTGGCTTCTCACAGCAAACTGTCCTTATCTTCCCTGACAGAGGCGATCGCTCACGAGGTGAGGGAGTGACCATGTGGACGTCAGAAGGTAAAACGAACAGGACTGCGGGTGCTGCTGAAACGGCAGCTGTTTCGGGCTTATAAAAGGCCCATCCAAGCCAGCCCTATCACAAACCATCATCACGTACCGGTTTTGTATCCGGCCGAAGGTTCTGGCCTGTGATGTTACTAAATAAAATTCGTATCTTATTCGTGACTCTAATTTCATGTCACAATTTCCATAGGGTAGTTGGAGCCTTCAAACCTTTCATATCAGGACTGTGAGCTTTGTGATCTGATGTGTGTGATCTTAGTGTAGGTAACATCACACCTTTGCGCCACTCAGGAATGGCATCTGTCATTCGTCAACCTAACCCTTGAAAATAGATTAACGCTGCACAAAGGGCACTTGGCGCTAAGTATTTGGCAATTCACAAATTTTCTTAGAAGCTCACGAAAGCGCTCTGTAGTTGTGCATTTGCGCTTCTGCTACGTGACTTCATTTGCCAGACGAACGCAATCGCCGCACAGAGTAGAAGCCTTGCGTTCCCTTCTATAGCGGTCTATTTTGAGGATGTCATATACCATCGTCTAGTCACTGGAAATGAAAAAGACTTGGTTAGTTCGTGTATGAGCGTCCTCTCCTTACACATGTGCCTTAGGTGATGGGGATGAGCGCGCTACATTTTTCACCAAACTGATTGATTTTTGGACCTCAGCAACCCCAAACCTGGGTTTCAGTAGGTCAGGCTGGCGACGGCTAATAAGTCAGAAATGACCATCCTAGTCTCCCTTGTCTTTGTACTTAATCTCCTTCCGCCTAGTAGTCGAAAAGCTGATCGTACGAAAGACAAACATGCAGAGAGTATAGAGGAAGCTACTAAACGTCACATATTATTGCGTGCCTAAAAGTTCTGTCATTTTTGGACAAACTGCCATTAAAGTCTGCGATGGACACTTGGCATCACCCACAATTCCAACATTTGAGACACTTCTTAGGGCTGCGTATTGCGGCAGATATTTTATGGCAGGTCGCTCTAATACGCTGGTCTTCGTTTTCCTCAGTTCAAATAACCTTTTTTCGGCTGTTTCGATATTGTCTGCCATTTGACTATTCGCCTAAAAGGCCCACTCTAACTAAAAGGTGATCTTCTAAGAACAACGATCCCTACTACAATGCGAGATGGGACTTGTCGTATTTCTGACGTCAGGGAAGCCAAAGTTCTAATTTCGCGAATGCGTTGGTTTCATATTTGCCTTCCTTTTCAGGGTTTAGAATGTACGTTTGCGAATTCCAGATGCCGGTATTCTAGAGTGTTTCTGGTTCCCGTACTACCCACTCCCTACCTACAGTGAACCATACCCGTTGAAACCAGCCCCAAAACTTTCCGCGCTTAAAAACAGGGAAAGTTGACTGAATACTGTCAAGGTTGGCGCAATATTCGTGTTTACTTTTTGTAGAGCCTGCTGTAGTCTGTGTCGTGTATTCAGCCAAGTGCTTAACATGTTTTGCTGATTCATCGGCTGGAAAAAAGGCGGACTGTTGTTTTGCAAGCACTGGGGTAGGGAAAGCGAAAGCATTCGGGTTTGGGGACAAGAGCGTGGCGAAGCAGGTTTGTGAGGCGATGCATGTGTTCACAGATTGGTTCAACAGAAGAAACAAGGACCACAGAGGCGTATTTGACGAGCAACGATCGCGGATGGAAAAAAATGAAAACCAAAAAAATGCAACGCATGAGGACAGTAAATGGAAGAAGGATCTCAAAACAAGAGTTAGGAATGACTAATAACCTTTTTAAGAGAAATGCCACCAAGCACACTCCTGAGCATGTTGAAAATTTATGGGACATCAGAAAAGTAAGTGTATGGTAAATCAAGCAAGAGCGCAGATGCCAGAGGAATCTCTTAAACCGGAACATCGTGCGGATCGGCCTTTTTAAGCGCGACACCTTAAGCTGAAGAAATGACACCCTAGATAGTTTGTGAACTGCAAGAAGTTGGCAATACAGGCCCGAAGTAGCGTGTTAACGCCAAATTTATTTGCCGCAAATCCACAGGGACGCCGATGATGATGATGATGATGATGACGATGATGATGATGATGATGATGATGATGATGATGATGATGATGATGATGATGATGATGATGATGATGATGATGATGATGATGATGATGATGATGATGATGATGATGATGACTTCTGAGATACAAACTATGAACTTGGCTGAAATTCGCCTAAAGCCCATAACTTTACGTTCAAGGCATGATAATTCGCACTGTTGTCACTACACTCCCTTCCATATCCGAGCAGGAAATTTTCCTAAAGGGTTTTTCGCAGTTGACTGAATATGAAATAAAGAAAATATCTTTATGTCGTGTTACTCAGAACATTGTGGTTATCCGACTTCGGCAGGTTTAGACGGATTTTTCATTTTTATAAGAGCCTTTTTCCTCGAATGTGATGGAACTCCCTGACAAGTGCGTGCTAAAGAAATATGACTCTATCAAAGTCCTTGTATCCATGAGGCAGGCCTCTTATTTATTATTAAACACAATGAAGCGTAAATGAATGACTTCAGTACAGCCAGAAACTGCTAAACAGAAGCTTTACCACCTTGTGGTCAATCCTGCTAGCCCAAATGCATCTACACATATTCACAGTTAAGTTCACAAGCGATAGAACCCAATTGTATGCCGGCTACGAAGCCCATTAGTGCTCAGATGCTTTATCGGAGAAAGCGGCAGCTTCTACAGCAGGACTGTCTGGCGTGCAGGTTTAAAGTAAACCGGTGTGTTCTCAGTCATTTACCAAGCTCCGTCCTCTTACAGTTCAGCACACGAAAAAGGCTATCAGTATAAGACCCCCAAACTTACCACTGCTGGGTTGAACCACGGGTTCGTCAATGTCGCTTGAGCCCTCGACCTGCTCATCCGCAGAAAGTACCTCGTACAACTCCCTTACAGATTTTTTCTGTAAGTCTGGATGCAGTGTTCGGAGCAAGGGCATTTTAGAAACATTGGGATCACCAGAGAGTCCATAATTATGCCGGCGAAGCGAATTGATGCATCGGGTACAAAACCCAAAATTGGCCAAAAACCACAGCAACACAAACGACCAAAAAAGCCGATACGGTTAAAGTAAAAGGTTGTGCGGAAGGACACAGCAACGTCAAATGAAAGACAAATAATAAAAGTGGCGATTGTGGCAAGAGTAACAAAACAGGATTAAGTGGAATTGATTTGCAGGTGATAGCGAGAAATGTGAAATTTCAAATAAAGCGATTATGAACGGCCAAAGAGAAATGCATCAGCGGAAAGCGAGACACAAAGGTACACAAAAATTACCAATGAAGGACGTGTGATATTCATGCGTAAAGCGTGAAATGTAGAGGAAAGAAATACAAACCGCATTAGCCGAGGATAAAATGCAGACCACTAGTATCATAAGACCGGGTTTTCTAAGTTGATCTTATATTACGAGGTATGGCAAGTCCATAATAGCCTTTTATGACGATAAAAACGGCTTTAAATAAATACCTAAAGACCTCATGATGTTTATGATAATTTTATAGGGGAGTTTGGGGTATACGGGAGTCCCGACGGAGGTTCTTACTGTAACTGATTGACAAAGCATACTTAGTTGTACGAAATGATCAGTTCACTCTATTCCACACCTACCACCCAGCTTTCATCTCTGGCCCCACGAAATTGTGCTCAGCAAAGAAACCACACCTTGGCAACCGTTTCGACGACTGAACTATGCCAGATGAGGATAGTCGACATCTCTTCACTCGTCGAAATCGTGCATAGCCTTATTCGATCAGTGGGGATGAGTTAACCATGTCAAGGCACCAGAGAGGGCGAGCCGAGTACCAAATCAGCCACTACGTCTCATCAATGGATGAGGTAATCTGTTGCACCTATGTTTGGATCTAGGGCCTGCGACAGAGGCGTTTTTACACAATTTTATTTTGTCAGTTGCAATGTGGAATGGGCTCAAGACCGAAGTACATTTTGAAATGAAAGAAGTCCGATCAAAGGTTCAATTTGACTGGGCGTCAACAGGGCTGCCGGTTAAATGCTCTGCTATGAATATGCCTTAACGAGAATGCAAATGTGCGAAGTAACTACAGGTACGAACATTTATAGTTCGCAAATGCTAGAGTTTGAACATTTGGCGACTCCGTGGAGCATATTTTCCATTCACTCAACGGTATATTGTTTCGCAAGGACGCATATCAAATGCGAGACCGTCAGTGAATGCGAAGCCAGTCACAGCATTGCACAAGGCAAGCTTTGGCCCTACAGAGAGGGACCGAGTTCACCAGACGGCGAAACCCTGGTCGGTGAAGGGGCTAAGAAACCTAAAATACGGGTCAGCAGGGAAAAGCGACACAGAAGGTATTCAGCGTTCGGAAAACTACTGTGACATTAAAGCGCTTTTATACTGGCGCGAGGTCCGGTGGAGGCCTGGAATCAACAAACTCTTTCCCTGTAAGCGAGAAACCCAGCCAGCACTCAACCAGGACCAAACTAATTAAGGATGCGGCAACTGCCAGGGTGTCTTCATGGCTTTCTGAACAGAATGTGTCGGTTTAAGTAATAGATTTGGAACCATACAGCATGGCTGAAATCAGCTCTTCTAAATCACAGATAAGCTCCTTAAGGTATTTTTCTGAGGTCTTTGTGGCGGTAAAGGGTGCTAAAATAGTCCCCCAAACTGATGGGTTTGAGGGTCTTATAGTTAATAGAGCCTTGTCGCACAGGACTGGAAGAAGTTGAGGAGAAAAACAAGAGAATGGAAGACGTTCCCGCCAGTATATCCACCTCCTAGTTCAGTTTTGTTCACCCACCTCCACGATGTTGCCGTGTTGGATTGTTCAAAGTACGGATAAATGTTTTCGTGCATCTGTGGGGGCAACTTTAGTAGACCTAATTCAGAAATCCCATGAGAATTCCCGGTTTCCCTCAAAGTGCTAATTACTGTCATCTCAGGACTATAAGTTCGGCAGAGGTTAACATGAGAACTTGGAAAGGCTTCTTCGTTCAGGTCCCGAAGTCGGTCGGAATATTTGAGCTGAGTTTCATCGGCTTTGACACCATTGTGAATGCAAAATTAGCACTGCTGGAATTGGTCTGCATTAAATACTTTGGTTACACCTCAAAGGAAGACATAAGCTGAAAGCTCATAAGGGTATTTCCCCAAAGCCTGCTGCTTCTACTAAGAGAAGTCGCATCGTACATAGGTCTCGCAGAGTTCGGCATATGGCCTGTTTGATCCTGTCTTGCAGCTGTCATGCGCATGTGACAGGACTCTTAGCTGGCACTTTGGCTGAAAATATGGTTAAATTGCGTGCCAAGCACAGTGAATCGGAATTCAGTTAAAGTGGAGCACATAGTAGTAGGGCGTGCGAAACGAGTTGTCTGTCATAGTAGCCTTGGATAGACGTCTAAACAAGCAGGAAAAACCATTGAGATCAAGCAGCAACATAGAAATCCATACCGGCTCCGATCTCGGTTGGTTAAAAGTCAGTCACACTGAGAACAGGGATCGCTTTGCGAACCGAACCAAAGTGAACGTCGATGGCACATATGATTGACAGGCGTGTCCTCAGTGGTTTAATCGGTAGGGCACATGTCGCGAAGCAAGGAGGGTTGTGCTTCGATATAATCTGGTGACATGACTTCGCTAGATGTCTGAGCCCATCACTTCGCACTGCCTACTTTAGCTGAAAACATTCTACCTAGTTGAATATTCCTTTCTGTCATATTCATAAAAGTTATCCTAAAGCTGTAGCAGATAAAGCAGATTTAGAACAGTTAAAAACTTACCCATAGTGTGTTTCCGGTTGTCGGATATGATTTCCTGGGTGATTCTTCGAGGATGACGTTTCCGTTCGACAACATTGTCACTAAGGACGCAGAAAGCTCCTTATTAGATGCTTAAAATACGGCGAAACATTATGTGTTTGAGGGAGTTTCTAAGATCTACTATGAGGGCTGTAGTGCGACCCTGTAGAACTACTTCACTATCACATTCAGAAGACTGATTTTTCCCAAAGTTCTTACTGCAGATGGGTCGCGAAACCTATTGTGGAACTTTATTTACAAAAAAATTCGATTTGTTTCAACTGCTAACGCGGCAGACACAGGAACGGGACAGTAAAAGGGCTTCGGTATAAGGTCTGATAGCAAACAGAAAGTCCACTTACTTTCCTCCTCAATGAAAGAATACAGAGCAAGACTAATTAAAATAGCTTTCATATGCGCGAGTTACAAACAATAAGAGATGAAGTTATCTCTCGGAGGCCAAATTTATTATTCTTAGACGATAGTCGTTCATATCTCATCCTAATTAATATGTCAATTCTTAAATCGGTGGAGGAAACTTTAAGGGTACTCAACCTAAACTGGTAGGATAAACGTAGACGCAGATAATACGGACTGGTCTGCAGGATTTTAAGTCTCAAGTAATCAACTGCATATACATATAGATGCATAAATGTGTTCGTTTCATACTTAAGAAGTTGTAATAAAGCTTGGCTCATGAGACTTACTCGCTAACGCAAACGTTAAAAATTGTGAACCCCATACAACTTCGGGTCCCCATGAACGAGGAGGGATGCAAAATCGTCTTTGATTAAATACGTTAGAGTATCGCGTCTCATATGAATGCGGCTATTTTTCAACCTTTATATATTTATAAATGACCGTGATTTTCTAGTTACTTCTGCATGAGAGCTGCGAGTTCGTATGTTTTTCTAAATATTTTGATGGGCTGTCTTCGACAAGCATGATTTTAGACGGCGCGACGTGCTGGTAGGTGAATGTTAAACGATAAGTCAGTTTTGTCGAACAAAAACGGTCCAGTTCACTGACATATTTCAGAGATATAGTTCAGCCGTGGTTATATTTCGATCAGGCGACATAATGTCCGTTCCCTAATTCGGCATTAATGACAAATAGCATGGAATCACGTAAAAAACCTAAACGAATTAGCACTTAGACAGAATAAAAGCCAGACTATCAACACTCCTCAGATGCATTAAGTATTATTAACTCCCAGTTAATGATCCACTTTTATTCGCAGAGGCCGGAGTAATAAAGTTTTTATTCGCAAATTATAATCTGACTCTTTGTACTGATCTCAAACTGTTTTGCATTCTGAAAGATTACTACTTGGCAGCAAAAATGGACTGTGGAC